TAGGGGAGTTTTTTAAGGCAGGCAGAGCCATCTGAAAGATAAATCAAAACTAATACCAAATTATTATTATCGTCTTAAAAAATGATAAAGTACCAATTTTCATGTTTATACTGTAAAAGAAAACCAAAATCTTTGTTATTAACAATTGGACTAACATAAATTGGGTTAAATCATAATAATTCAATGTAAGGAATTCACTGTTGCTCTGTTTCCCATTAGTAACGGACCACCCTGTTTATCTAAATTTAATGTATACAGTGACAAGAGAAAAATTTGCAAAATTCCATTAACACCATATTTATATGGACAATTATTGCAATAATGTTGAGTTGGCGAAATTACTATAAATAGAAAATAAATAGAATTAGCGGGGAAAGAGCACAATTTGTGGTATGGTAAGAGAAATTGGCGAGTTATCTCAATATCTCTATTTACCAGAGTACCAGTCAAACATTGTTGTTCAAACATTATTGTTACAAAAAGTATGAGTTTTTCACGCAAGTCTTGTGTTAATAACACCGACCATTTCTAATACATATGTGGTAAATTTTGTCAAGAAAAGCAACGAAGGAACATGAATGATTTAGTAGAACAAAGTTAAAGGGCATGTTTTGGAAAACAATTTGGATAACAAGACAAATGGCCAACATTTGGCCCACACAAAGTTTGTAAAACTTACGTGGAATCACTTCGAAAAGGGCTTCCGTTTGGAATACCGGTAACATGGACAGAGCCAAGAAACCACCTTACTGGATGCTACTTTTGTGCTGTGAATGTAAAAGTTATGAACCGATCCAAAAAGTGATCTTGGGTTTACGCAAACGTAGAATCTAGTAAGCAACCAACGCTGCACAGTGAAAATTTGCCAATACAGGTATTTACTTTCTCATTAGACGATTGCTGTGATGATGTTGAAATGTTAAATACTCAGAGTAAAAAAAATAGATTCAACAACATGATTCGAGATTTAAATGTATTTAAGAAATTAGCTGAGATTCTTGCGACAAGACTAAAAGAAAAACATTGCCCTCAACTTTTCATAGATAGCTCAAAAAAAAGTTTGCAATATGTGTTACTGCATAACGGAAATAAATTAGCTTCAATCCCGATAGCTCATTCAACTACTCTTAAGAACGAATATTTCGTTTGTGTTTAAACGACATAAACAAGTTGACAGCTCAATTTGTTTTTTTAATTGCCATGGCCAACCTTGACTTTTTCGAAGATCTTAACATTTTCGCGTATAACTCGAAAACGGTCAATGTTATCAAAATTTTCAAAGAGTGATACCTAAATGTTTCTAAAATAAATTTTCTATTAAAAAATACAAAAATAAATGTAGGGTTACGAGCGAACAAGAAAGTTCTGAGCAAACAAATTTTAGAGATAGCCTGTATAGCATGGTTGCCGCCGCCCGATCAAAGTCAAAATTGGTTCAATGATTTTGCTTGATATTTGTTTACCCTGTACCAAATTTCAACGCTCTACCATAAATTAATGGTATTGAAAATATTTAGAAAAATGTGTTAAAATTTCTGAACTTTGATGGCCCATATCTTGGCCATTTGAAGACTTTTGTAATAATTTTTTTTCACGAATCGTCACCATTTTTGCTCTAGTATATGAGGTTAATTTTATGCCAAGGTCACCGGAACACCCTGTATAAAGCTTGAGCTAATAAAATAGTTTGTTAAAGCTTTAGATAGGAATGGCGATTGTTTCAAATATATTTGTCATTTATTTCCTGGATATCAATATAGAACCACCATATGACTTAAGTTGAATTGGAAGGATGGACAAGCTATGTATCAGTTGTCAAAATTTTTTTGGGGAATCATAAAGCTGAAGATTGTAGTACACAAAATGCTCCACAATTTGGAAAAATTAGGAACTAATATGAGTATCAAATAGCATTATTTGCGGTGATTATAGCGAAGGACAACGGGAACGATTCCACCAGGATATCAAGGTTATGGAGGAAATATATCAAGGCTGTTGGGATCGCTATATGATGGCAGACTACTGCTGGAAGTTGCAAGGAAAGTGTCCGGACCTAAAACACCATAGAAAATCCCATACAAAACGTTTTTCTTAACTCGTATTAACATGTTTTTGTTTTTATGACTAATTTTATTATTTTTTGTATCATTTATAGCACTTTGTTTATTTGAAATTATTTGATAATAATAAAACAAACGCTTTAAAAATATTCTCCTCTTTTCAAAAATTAATTTCTAGTATAAATGGATTGCCTTTATCTTAAAAAATAGAGTCAATTCAACAAAAATATTATTACTTTCGTATTCAGGAGATAAAAATTACCTAAAATTTACTAATAAACCCCATGTCGCAGAATTAGTGTTGCCTTGTGTAATTATTAATTTTATAACACGTTATTTCCTGAAGATAAATCATCGCCGAAACCGGTGAAAAGAAAAATAAATAAAGAGTATCATGGAAAAGTGAAAAAATCAAAATTTATACTTTTACAATATGAGCTATTTCATTTAAGTTAAGGACTTTTTGGCCCCTTTTAATAACATTTGCGGTCATGGTGTCTTTTAAAACGTCAAATTTGACAGGTAAATGACATTTAGGGATGCAATCGATGTTTTAACATCGATGTTGAAGTCTATAAAACATTGATACATCGTTCATTATGAACGATATTTTATCTTCGATGTTTGATAAAATAATCGACCATTATTTGATTATTTCCATGTTTGTATAAAAGAGCAATGAAATATTTGCCACTCTTAGCAACTTCGGTGTCCAACGAGCGATTATTCTCAGAAGTTGGCGCAACAATTAATCAGAAAAGGAATCGCTTATTAGGCAATTCCGAGGGCAATTCTATACTTAAAAATAAATTTAAATAACATTATCTATGTGTTTTATCATATTATAATAAATGGACTGCGTTATACATCACTTGACTAAGCGACATTTTATCGTTTTTAGAGATTTTCAGGCTGTCTGGTAGGTAAAGGTGTAACTTATCTTAGAAAAAATACAGAATACCGAGAGACCTAAAATACTATTTGTTTTAAAGCTAAGCGCCAATCACGTTATACGATTTCAAGACCGATTTGCATCATACGTCTAAGAACCGACTTACCATTAGATACGACACTTACGATTAGATACACCAAGAAATTTCGAGTCAGTGTCGTTTTCAAGATGTTAGTATAAAATTGAAAGTTTATGTCTTTTATGTTATATAGAATTTAAATCTAACTAGTTTCGGCCCTTGGCCATCTTCAAAGACTCCACAAATAGATTAGCATCTCTCATCTTATCCATTTTACAAACAAGTTTCTTAATATTTCTTTTTGTTTTGTTAAAAAAAGATCACGCATCAAAAGCGAAATCAGATTATTAGATACTACACTTAGCGGCATAAAAAACGCATCACCTAAAATGATGACCAGTTTCAAACTGCAATAACTTTTGAACGTATAGCGCAATTTGAATAAGTTTTTTTTATTTGAAAGGTCTACCTCTGTCAATATTTCTGTAGATGCCTTCCCTATTTTGGCATTCTTCAATTTCAGCAATTGTGAATAACGCTAAA